CATGACCCTAGGACAATGCATCTGTCATACTTACATGCCAGTTGCCAAATGCACAAATTGTGATACATGACCCTAGGGATGCTGCAATGGTTGTCATTTTTTTCCAGTTCTGTTGTAACTTCAGTCACTAAATGAATGGTTGTAAATCAACCTGTATCTTCTTTTGGGCTTTTGGTGATTTGCAGAGAGAAGAAGCTTGGAATCTAAAATTAAATTTCACTGCTTTTATTTCAATAGCAGAGGAAGCATTACAAGCGAGCAGGCACGGATCTTAGTTAATTGCCTGAATGCAGGAATAGGTCTCATATTATTCAAAATAAAGATTTTTAGCCTCATGTGGTTCTAGCTAGATGGCTTGTCTATAATTAAAAACCAGAAGATTGCCAATGTGAAAAGTGAGGAGTTTGTTGGTAGTGGTCCCTCAGAAATTCAGCCATGCCACAGATGCTTTTGATATCTTTGGGATTTTTGTGGTCAACCCATTTAGTTCCTATTAGTCCTTCAAGGTTAGTGATGGCGAACCTTTTAGAGACCGAGTGCCCAAACTGCAAACCAAAACCCACTTATGTATCATTGGATGCCGGGTGGGTATGGCCCATTGGCTGGGTGTGGCCCATTGAGTGGGTGTGGCCCATTGGGCAGACGTGGCCCTTTGGGTGGGCATGGCTTCAGTGGTAACGGCAGACTGGGTGGGACTAAAAAGTTCAATCAATCAATTCCAACTTTGCAAGACCTTTTTTTCCCCTCCCCGTGAAAAGTTGAAATTGATTGATTGAACCTTTTTTTTTTTTGCACACAATGGTGGAGGCTTAAAGCTAAAAGGTTTTATAAAACCCAGCTGAAGGCCTAGGACTGGGGTGATGGTGCGCATGCCCACAAAGAGGGCTCTGCATGCCACCTGTGGCACGTGTGCAATAAGTTTGCCACCAAGGTTCTAGGTTCTAGGTTAACTTGACTAGAAACATAACTAGATGGCTAATTCTGCTTTACTGTAAGGTTACATTAACAGAATCTTGCAAGTCTGAAAGTCCAAATCTCACACTCTCACTTTTAACAGTCTGATCCTTTAGGGCAAATCCATCCTACATTACTTTCTTTGGCTATTAAGTCACTGGGGGTTCCTGCCTCACTTGTGTAATTGTTTCCTCAGCAACATCTCTTCCCTTTATTCCTCAAGGTCGTCCCCACATACTATTATAATTTTTGATTGGTCCAGTGACATTTCTGCTTCATGGTTCTGATCACACATCCAAGAGGCCTGAAATCCTAGTCTTGTTCCTCATCAATGTGGTTCATCTTCTCTGTTCCATCTGCTAGATTCTGTGGTATGTGTTGCTTTCTCATTGTTCCCATATTAGCAGGTTAATTTAAAATACATCACTGTATAAACAAGTTAAATAACCGCTACTGTCTTATTTGGGTAATTTCACCTATGGCTCTAATTAGGAAAACAGAGGGACGAGGAGAACTAGAAGTCTGATCAAGGCTTTAGTTAAGACATAGGTTTGTTTACTTGTTTATCTAATTAGCGCCATGGATAATATTACCTAAGAGTTTCTTTAGGCCAAAGAGTACCAATGTGTAACTACAGGATAACAAGATACAAAACAGGCCAATGACGGTCTTTCTGATCACTCAACAACGCTATATAAACCTAGTGCAAATCCACAATAATTGCCTGCCCCTTGATAATAGGGTACAAGCCTCCACAGAGCCATTTTGTGCTAGCCAGAGGGGTAGTGGTGAGTGGAAATTCCCAGAAATGAGCAATCATAACTTTTGAGCTTGAGAATCCTATGGCAGTTCCCTTCTCTAAAAAAAAATAAAAGAAAGAGAAGGAAGATGAAGAAGTAGCCCAGGAATGCACAAGGTGCAGGATCTGTGGGATTATTCTAAACTGGTGAACACCCCGGGCATTCTGGAAAGGTTTTCTTACCTTCAGTACATTTCAGAGATTTATACATGGGTGAAAATGAGTCCTGCCCCACTGCCTTCTTGCTTGGGGAATGCAAGGCGGGTAATTAAGAAGTCATAAGGCACAGGTGTGCCAGGTGAAGTTTGGGAGCTTGCTTTTGATCTCAGTTGAGATGCTCTGGGGATTTAACTTCTTAAACACAAGAGGAATAAATAAATAATAAGGACTTTTTTTTTTAGGCAGGAGGAATCTCTTCCTAAGGCTGGAATATGCAGGCAAGGTTAGAAACATCTTGGATGTATCTCGGATGCAGCAGATCACTGGAGGCAACCATTTCCAACCAGATGTTTCCCAAACATCTTGAGCCATAGCTTCAAAGGCTATGATGTCTGGGGAAGTCATGGTCCAAAACATATGGAAGGTTTCCTGTTGGCATAGAGTAGGTTATAGCTTAGGCCTTGGGTGTCCAATCTTTCGGCTTGCCTGGGTAACATTGAGTGAAGAGGAATTGTCTTAGTTCACATATAAAATTTATAATATAGTTAATGTAGATAAATCACATAATAATGTTAAACGTTTACATACATGTTTCCCTGGGGAATTATATAATGACATGAAAGTCGGAAGGAAAGAGAAGAAGACAAGTGGTAGCAAGCATAGAGAAATTCTATTATAATGGTGATAGGTGCATCATTGGAAGACCCAAAGGACCAGATTACAGATCACCATGGAGAAAATCTATCTAGGTTGTTGCTAAGAGTTAACATTGAGTTGATGGCTTGTAATCATTCAGTGTGAAGTACTAGCTCTCTTTGGAACTCTCTGATGCTGAGAAAGACGGAAGAAAAGAGGACAATTAACAGAAGGGAGATGAATTCAATTATAGTAGTGGTGGGTGCACTATTGGTGGAACTGAAGGACCAAGTTAGGGACAGGTTATTATGGAGGAAATTTATGTAATTACTAAGAGTTGATTATATTAGAAATATAATACACATAAAATTTGATTAGGGTTTTCAGCTTTTACTTCCTGTAAAATTCCTCTATCTTTATTTCCAATCCTGAGCTGTTTGGTGGTTTTCCAATTCTTCCATAACTCTGTCTTGATGCCTTTATGTCCAATTTTCCTTCCCAAAACATTTATAGAAGTTTACCTTCCTTCAATTCCCTTCTCAAAGCCATTGTATATTTGGTAAAAATATGGATAAAATCTATCAGGTTCAAACTAGATATGAGAAATATTGCCACATATTTCCAGTTTACACTTTCACACATTCAGTTTACACTGTACACACGTTAAATTTTCAGTAACATTAAAGATAAAGAAATAAAATTGAAATGTTTTATCATCATTATAAAAATCTGTTCCATGCTTTAATTCATTTAATTCATTTTCGTGATGTCTTTACCATATGTTCTTTCAAGAGCATCTATGGTGAGAACGTATCAAAAAAGTAAATAAGATGGATCAAGAGTCCACTCAAAGACATGAATTCAATCACACCTAATACCCTGATGTTTTGACTTTCCTAATGCTTTTTCTTCCTCTGATTAGGTCATTGCCTTATTGTTAAAGTTTAGTCTGGAGGTCTCTCTCTGCTACGTATATGGAACTTATATTTTTGTTTGTGCTAACTTGCAGAATACTATGTTCACAAACAGCAAGTGTCTGAATGTTATTGGCACTTGTATAATTGAGAGAATGGTATATAATTTTGGTAGATTGGAAACTGCATTAATTATCCTTCATGTTCTTATTAGGTCATGAATTTTAAAATAAGCAGTCATACTTAAAACAGGGATAAATTCTTATCTGATTGTTTCTCAAATATGCCAGTAAAAATGTCTGATGACATCCATATAATAATAATAGTAATAATAGTAGTAGTAATAATAATAACAACTGGTGGGATCATAAAATAGAGAAAGTCATAGAAAATGATAAAATTAAACTGCTCTGGGACTTCAGAATTCAAACAGACAAGCACCTGCAACATAACACCCCAGACTTAACAATTGTCAATAAGAAAGACAAAAAAGTCTGGATAGTGGACGTGGCAGTGCCTGGAGACAGCAGAATAGAAGAGAAAGAACTGGAGAAGATAACAAAATACAAAGACCTACAAATAGAAATAGAAAGACTGTGGCAAAAGCAAGCAAGGGTAGTACCAATAGTCATAGGGTGCAATCCCAAAACAACTGGAGCACCACTTGAACACCATTGGCATTGACAAATTCGCTATTAGTCAATTGCAAAAGGCGGCCTTATTAGGAACTGCTTCCATCCTGCGACGATATCTGTAATACCATCAAACATCCACATCTGCCTATCCCAGGTCCTGGGTAAGGACTCGATAGGTAGACAAAATGCCACATCCAGTCTGAACATCTGGCTGACTGTGCGATGATCAATATTAATAATAATAATAATAATAATAAAGTTGGAAGGGACCTTGGAGATCATCTAGTCCAACCCCGTGCTCAGGCAGGAAACCCTATACCATTTTGGACAAATGGCTGTCCAGTCTCTTCTTAAAAACCTCCAGTGTTAGAGCATTCACTGCTTCTGGAGGCAAGTTGTTCCACTGATTAATTGTTCTAACTGTCAGGAAGTTTCTCCTTAGTTGTAGGTTGCTTTTCTCTCTGGTTAGTTTCCATCCGTTGCTTCTTGCCCTGCCTTCAGGCGCTTTGGAAAATAGCTTGACTCCTTCTTCTTTCTGGCAGCCCCTGAGATACTGGAACACTGCTATCATGAATGTCCACTTTTACTTTCAGGTAAAAACCTTTCCCAACACTTTTATATTTGTCTACATTACTAGCTCAATAACTACAACAGTAACTCCTCCTCCTCCTCCTCCTCCTCCTCCTCCTCCTCCTCTTCCTCTTCCTCTCCAACAAGAAAGAGGCAAATGTAAGCCAGATTTTCTGGTATTAAAGAACGCTGAACTTTTTTTTCTGATATATGCAGAAAATTGGTGCATCATGACCTAAGGATCTAGAACTTGGAGAAATAGTCCTAGTTTCTAGGGTTTTTTTCTGGCACAGTTATGTTATTCTAAAAAGTAATCTCTCATTTTATTCGTAGGTCAATCTTCCTTTGATTCTTCATCAAAATGTACTTGAAGGAGGAAAGACATAAAGCTGATTTATGTGTCAGGAGTCATTTCAAGGAACTGGTATGCATATATTAACCATCCTTGTTAACAAAATCTGCAGTGCTGTATAAACACTCCAGCCAATTTTCAGATGCTAATTGCTTTGCCACTTACTCTCAAAATAGTAAAAAGCCTCACCCACGCTATGGACTGAAGCTGAACCTTTAATGAGCAATTTAAAAAAAGTGTGATAGTATATACCTAATTTAAATATATATTGTATAAAGTATAGTAAATAGGAATCCAAATCCAAAAATGAACAGATTTTGTTCATTTCCAGCAAGTCAACCTGGGCCCAAAATAAACTCCTGCAGAGTCAAAGGCTGGACTCCTATGGAGAGCTCCCAAAACATTTCAGTTGAACTGGGCACTATAATTCACAAATGGCACTTTTATCTTAAAACACTTTTTGCTCACCTGCAGTGTCTATTGATGAACTGCCTTTTATTTTGCTTTAAAAAAAACCATGCAGGATAATATGCTCCCCAAATTATGATATCTTTTTGTTGTAGCAATAGCAGTTTCATTAATTGGGCAATAAATAAATAAATCAGTAGACTGCAGTTAGATACTCACCAGGAAAAAAGAGACATCAACAAACCTTTCTGCAAATGTCTTTGTCATTATTAGGCTCTGTTACTTTGTTTCAATGTTTACTAGAGATGGAGAACATGCAGGTAGTCCTCAGCTTATTATGACCACAGTTGAGACTAGAATTTCTTTTGCTAAGCAAGTCAGGTATTAAATCATCCCCAGTTTTGTGACCTTTTTTGCTATGGTTGTTAAGTAAATCACAGCAGTTAAGTGAATTGTGTGTGTGGTTGTTAAAATGAATCTGGCTTTGTCCATTGATTTTGCTGGTTGGAAACTGGCCTGGGAAGGTCACAAATGATGATGACCAGGACCCTGGGATGCTACAATGGTTGTAAGTACATGCCAGTTGCCACACACCTGATTTTTTTTATTTTGATCACATGATCATGGGGATGCTGCAACAGATGTAAATCATTTTTTCAGTGCTGTTGTAACTTCAAAAGGTCTCTAATGAAATGGTTGTAAGTCAAGGACTACTTGTGTATGCTCTAAATAAGGAGTGGGCAATTAATTTTCCGAAGGGGTCCATGAGAAACTGGGGCTATTGTGGAGAACCAAACAGTAGGACTGTAAAGGTGCAAAGGCATGCATGTATGGACATATGTAAATTGAAAAAAAATAGCAGACCCTCAACATAAAAACAATACACTTGTATTGCATTCATGGCATATACTTATTTGCATTTAATTTCTAATTTTCAGTTGAAAATTATGCAGGCAGGACAACGACAGCCAAAGGGCTAGATGTGGCCTCAAGGCCATAAAATGCCCAGATTTGCTCTAGAAATTGGATTCCAGCTTCTGGCAGTCAGAAATAATGCCCCAGATTAGAGCTCTTTTCTCTTACACTTGCATATAAGAGAATATTCTTATACATACTTTTCTCTATGTACCTCATTTTTATTATTCTAACATTGGAATAGGAAGGTGGATTTATCTTCATAGCATAACTACAATAGTTTGCAACATAAATAAAGCTGGAGAATGACAATGTGTCTCTTCACTGTTGAAGGCAGGCAAGGAGTATACATCCTGCCATTTCCCCATCATCCACTTAGAGCTGAAGAAGCTTCCTGGATGAGAAGCGAAATGTCTTCAAAGAAAAACAAGAAAGTCCAGTTGCTTCCTGAAAAAGTACCTTTGGGACAATCACGACCTGGATTTCTATGATCTCCATAGATTTTTAGCTATGTACTTTGGGATAAACACTCTTTGAATGGTACAGGAGTATGAACAGATTTCCAGACTACAGGAACCATTAGCGCTTCAGTTTGAGATGCAAACAACACAGACTCATCCCCAACAGCCTCCGCCTGTCTTCAACAGTGAAGGGACACAGAGCAGAAAACATCCTGCAGCCAAGAAGGCTCCACACCCATTTGCACTACACAGGAGATCCTGAGGACACAGATAAACCTCCAAGTGGCCTCAGCAACTCTCTAAAAGAATGCAAATGACCAACTGTCTGCAAGGAGTATAAATCCTTCCATTCCCCGCCATCCAGTCAGAGCTGAAGAAGCTTCTTGGATGAGAAGGGAAACATCTTCAAAGAAAAACAAGAAAGTCTAATTGCCTCCTGAAAAAGTACCTTTGTATTTTGTAATGTGTATTAGCCAGATTAAAAATGATCTTGGATTATGTGAGCCTAATCTCATATAATCACATTTGAATCTTGGATAAATGTCCTAATAAATATTCATATTGATTGATTGATTATGTGCCCTCAAGTTGTTTTCGACTCCTAGCGACCACTTGGATATTCATCTCTCTCTCTCTCTCTCTCTCTCCCTCCCTCCCTCCCTCTCTCTCTCTCTCTCTCTCTCTCCCTCCCTCCCTCCCTCCCTCCCTCTCTCTCTCTCTCTCTCTCTCTCCCCTCAATCTCTTTCACACACACACAGACAGACACATACAAACACAGTATATGGACAATAAATATTCATGTTTTATTTAAAAAACAAAGCATTCACAGATAAAACATTGTCATTCACTCTACAAGATAACATCCAAATGTAAACTTTTGCATTAAAAATTGGTTATTTGCCAGTCCTTTTTAAACATATTGATGTAAACGTTATACCAATGTCTACAAATGTACAGAAAGAATTCGAGGATTTAGATAAAGCACCTTCCTGCCAGCATGTTGGCCAAAGGGGAATTCTTCTCTTGGAGACCAATTTTATCTCAGCAATATGTCAAATGACATAAAGTAGCAGTCCCACTGATGGCCAATTGCATCAGGACATGATGACATCATCAGGTTTCTGTGAATTCTCACTAAAATAGAATATTTTATTTATTCCCTAGAATAGAAGAATATGTCAAAAGGAAACTGAAAGTAGTTTTGAAAAGGAAATTTTAGTTGGTTGTCTGTCTTGCAAACTATTGGCATAATTTTATTTTTGGTACAAATTTGATCCATAGACTTCCCTTAAGGATGGAACAGTTCAGATCAATCCTGGACAAAGCTACAGTTACCAAGATTCCATGGGGGGGCTGTGTCGAAGGATTATTTTATTTACTGATCTGTCTTTTCCTTCTTTTCCAGTGGTTTTTCTGTGGTTTCAAAAATATTGAGTTAGTTTGTAACTTTTATAATGAACAGCATGTAATACAAGGTGCTCACACAATATTCTAAACCCTATCTGGTCTAAAAGGAGTCATTTGATTGGTATCCAGATAACGTGATATCTGGATGATCAACGCTTCCTCTGCCTTGTGTGGATTGTTTTTTTTTTTTTAATAAATAAGCAAATGCTCTGATAACTTGAATAAGATCAGGACCACAACAGATAGACTAATAGAAAGCTGGGCTACTCCACTTCCTTTCTATCTCCCATTTTGCTTCTTGTATGATAAGTAGAATTAAAAAAATGAAGCAAATATGGAGAAATTAAGGGTGCAGAAGTCTTATTGTAGACACTGAAGTTCTCTTACTAAGTCTGAGTGGCAAAAGCTAAAATAAAGTTCAGACAGATATCTGTGGGGGTGGGGAGTACAAAAAAAAAACCAAGATGGCAACCATGATTGCATGTTAGAAGTCCCCTCCGTGTTTTATGTTGCACAACTATGTCTCTCATCTTGACTTTCTTGAGCCATTCAACCAAACACGAATTTGGATGACATGGCAAGCTACTTATCATGCATTTTAACCTGGAGCAAACATTGGGTTCCAAACTTGATTAATAACCTCTTGTCTTGACTTCAGAAAACTGTACAGAGAACCATGATGTCCTTAAGTCAACTTAAGCTTGATTTAGAGTTATCTTCAACTGCACGTAGGTGTCAGCACATACTTATACTGTGAAGGGGTTGATAAGTAAACATAGGTTGCAGATGGGTCAACACACCTACCTCCCAAATCACAACTACTTGTTGTGTGGAGATGCGCGTCCTGGATTGGTTGATCTAACTATGTTTTCTGTTTCTGTGCTTTGTTGTTTGAATAATTTCTATACAGAACATTAACAGACATAAAGGCAACAGCAACGCAACCATCTCTGATGCATACTTTGTCTGAAGTGCAGTGATGCAGAAGTCTAACAAAGCCTTTAGATCAGGGGTGTCAAGCTGCCGGCCTGCGGGCCAGACGCATCACGAGCTTCCAACAATTAAAGTCAATGTGAGAAGCTGAATTCACTTAATGATTGCATGATGCACTTTAACAACTGCAGTAACTCTCTTTAACAACTGTTGCAAAATAGTTTAAAAACGCTGTGATTCATTTAACAACTGCCTTGCTTAGCAATGGAAATTTTGATCCCAGTTATGGTCGTAAGTTGAGGATTACATGCATTTTCATACTGGAAGTATTTTTTTCATTGTTCCTGAGTAATTTCCTCCCTCAGCTGGGAATAGTAACAGTAGGTATGGTTGCAGATATCAAGCTATGTGCTTCTGAACATTTATCACTGGTAGAATTATTCTGTTCTACTATCACTGGTAGAATAATTGCTGTAGTTATACAGCAAAAGTCTAAATGGGTATATCACAATTAGATATCCTATGGCAGTGATGGTGAACCTATGGCACGAGTGCCAGAGGCGGCATTCGGAGCCCTCTCTGTGGGTACATAAGCCATTGCCCCAGCCCTGCCTCCTCCCATGGCCCCCTCCTCACCAGCAGCCCCCCTGGAGGAGAGTCGCCAAGCACATGGCAGCTGGGCAGTGCGGACAAGACTCCACCCTTGTGGCCCATTGCACGCAGATGATGCTGCAGGGTGTGGGCGGAGGTGTGGCCACCATGACGCTGCAGGGCCACCTGGGTGATCTGCAGTGGGCCATGGGGGCAGTGGGTGGCCCTGCAGGTGGTGTGGGAGCGGAGCAAGGTGGAGGTGGAGTGGGGGCCAGGGGGCGGGCTGGGGACATGGTGGTTTTTGGGCAATCGGTCTCTAAAAGGTTCGCCATCACTATGCTATGGGTTGTTGCATAT